TCTCCAGGCTTTTCCTGAAAAGTACGAGCATATTTATACTTTGCACTTACTGACTCTGCCTGAAATACTCTTCTCCCAGTTCAACACCTCACCTCTTTCAGGTCTTACTTACTCAGCTTCTTGGTAAGACATTCCCTGACCCCCAGTATTAAATTGCACTGCTCCCAAACACTCCCTCTTCTCTACAACTTACCACTATAGGACAGTCAACTTAAATTTTAATTAATTAGTTATTTAATATTGTCTCCATCCTCTAGAATGAGGGTCTGTTTTCATGACTGCTATTTCCCCAATGTTTGCATGCTGTCTCTCTTATAGTAGATAACCACATTTGCTGACAGCTTTCATTGAATATCTCTACCTTAAAGTTCATCTTATCATGACATAAAGTTGTACATTTCTAATTTCCTTCTCCCTTTTATATGCTATAGTTCAATCTATAGCACCATTATCTGCCCTCCTTTTCTTATTTAAAAAAAGAAATTAAAGTAATCTCTCTATGCAGTGTGGGGTCTCAAACTCACAACCTTAAGATCAAGAGTTGCATGCTCTCTACATACTGAGCCAGCCAGGCGCCTCTGCCCTCCTTGCAAGCTAGAAATGTGAAGAGTCACTAACAACTTGAAACATTGGCTTCCCTTCATTCCTTAGGTGCTATGAATTCGATCTTTCACCTACATCTCTCTCAAATTTATTCTTGTCTGCAACTCCACTACTACCTCTTCCATTCAGGCTCTTGTTGGATCCGCACTGCCCAAAGGATAAAGTCCACATTCCTCCTCCTGACATAAACAAGTCTCTCTTCCTATCTGACTGTGCCCTTCTTTTACAGCTACATCTCATCTCCCCTATATCTGTTCTCTATATATCTAGTTTTCTCAGTGTGGCATGCTTTTTGAGCTTTTACTACTTTTCATAATACCAATTCTACATGAAATACGCTCCTTGCTCTCCAAGGAACAATTCTGACATCATTTTACAGGAGCTACCTCAAATGTGACTTCTACAAAGTCATCAGAATAACAGCAGCTAACACCCACTGAGTGCTTACTATAATTTACATAATTTACTTCCATCATATCATTTAATCCTTAAACAAATCTATTAGAAAGGTACTGATAATTTCCCCAAATTACACATGATAAAATAAGGCTACAAGAAGGTAGGAAACACGTTGTAGGTGACGGACTTAATAAGCAGATGAGCTAGGATTGGATCCTAGGTCTAATTCCAAAGCCTAAATGTCAAAACTCTAAATAAACAGCTGATTGACCTTCAAATAGGTATTCTGAAAGTCTTTATTGAGTTTAAGTCATTTTGCAACCATTAATTTTATTGTTGTGTGAAAAAAGAAGTAAAACTACAAACTCTGGGGTGCCTGGGTGGCTCAGTTGGTTTAGTGTCTGACTCTAGATTTTGGCTCAGGTCATGATCTCGTGGTTTGTGAGTTCAAGCCTCACATCAGGATCCACTGTGGCAATGTAGATGCTGCTTGGGATTCTCCTTCTCTCTCTCTCTCTCATTCTGCCCCTCTCTAGCTCACTCTCTCTCAAAGTAAATAAATTAAAAAAAAAAAAAAACCTCATAAACTGTAAGTTGCCACTTTACAACTACCCAGATAATGAATAAAGAAATTCACTCTAAAACATTGTTTTAGTATACAAGAAGACACATAATTTTTGTAGGTATATTTTCATGATGAGAAGGAGTAACAATAATACCATTATTGTCAATTTACAGCATTTATAAAATTACAGGCAGAGTAAAAGACCAGAACCTTGTTTTTGTATCCCACAAAGCCCACATAAAGATCACCTGATATGTCCAAAAGGACCTCTGGAATGTTACATCACTACTAATTTCTACCCAATATTTACAATCGCCCTGCTTGGTAATGCTTCATTTCACTGACCTTTTCATTATAAGGTGCTTTGCTGGGTTTGCATATAGCATCCCACCCAAAGGTGACTTTGAGGGAGCCTCTAAAGGCAGCTCCAGCAGGTCTCCATAGAAATGGCCCCAGGGTTGTCTCCAAAGTGGTCCTGCTTGGGTTGCCATGGTAAACAACCAGGCTAGATTGCTATATTCAATTCTTGCCAGAGTCGCCATGGTGACTGCAAAGGATGGCTCCTTAGAAGGACCTCACAAGGGCGCGTTTCCATGGTGACCCTATCCTGCATATTTCTAAGCAACTTCCCTCTGGTTGCTCCGTGACCAACTGCAGCAGGTTCATTCTGAGAGTCACCCTGGAAGGTCTCTCCCATAGATACCATCGGAACACACAGGGATTTGGAAGTGAGGCCTGTAAACAAATAAACTGCTTGAAAATGTAAATGGTACCATTCATAAATCATTAAATTGGTCCTTATATGTTTTAGGAAGGATCTGTTTTGATGGGTAACAACAAAAAAAAATTTGTAACGTCTGTTAAATGTGCCTATTTCAAATCTTCATTTAAAATATCTTACAGAATATAATGCAGATAATTAAAGTTTCAAATTTCTCCGATCTTACAACGTAGTGGATAACTAGGTAAAAAATACTTTATAGTGGATATGACACATACACATAAAATCAAATCATAAATACAGATGGACCATTAGGTTATAATGAGATATCAAGGAAATTTTTATAGAGCAAAAGACAAAATATTTGCAAGTCAAATGAAAAAAAAAATGTGTTTTTTTAGTGGAGTTGGGAAAGCCTAGCCATATTTGGGCCCAAGCTATTTTTTCCTGTATTTTTGTGGTTGGAACCATCTCAACTACTCTTCCTTTCAATTTAAAATGTGAATATAAACCATTCTGAACAGATGCTTGGTTTTTAAACCATTTAACTATTCTCCTGAAACTTTAAAATACTGTACTTTTTCTAGTATTTAGTCAAGGATAAATTTTATCTAATTGCTAATTTCAGTATCTTTAAAATTTACTGAACAAATACAAAGAATCCACCGTTCAAAAGGTACACTGATAATTTCTGTACATGTGCCCACTCTTTTTTGTACTTGCCAAGTGACTCTTTAAATTTACACACACACACAGACACACACACACACACACACACACACAAAGACACACCTTATTGTGAAGAAAAGGTTACTTATTGTGAAGAAAAGGTTAACCTTGGGTTTCCTCTTTTTTCTCCTCACCTTGAGGTAAAGGCAAACAAGATTCTCCCCTCGAGCACTAGTTCCACTGGTTCTACATTTTCCATTATTTATTTTTTTCTCTCAGATTCCATTCTCCTATTCTGTTTACTACAGCCCACCACTGCCCAGTCACATTCCACTCAGGAGAATGAAACTGAGTTTGGAAAACAAAAATAGTCCAGAAAAATTAGGATAATTCATAGTCACTTCTTCACTTCTTAGTGAAGTCTCAATGTTTTACACAAAGCCTGAATTTGTAGAAACTTCTTACTTTAAGCCTTCAGTATGTTTTTGTGAACCAGAGTAGTCACTGCCATTTTCATCTATTCATTTATTCATTAAGTATTTATTGAGTGACTACCAAGTATTAGGCACTGTTTTAGGGGCTGAGAACACTTCAGGGAACAAATAAAAATTCCTGGGTTTAAGGTGCTTAGATAATGGACTGGGGGAGAGAGAAAGAAAGATGGTACAAAGAAAACCAGTAAGTACAAAATCTTATCTTCTGTTAGAAAATGATTAAAGTCAGGGAGAAAATTAAAGCAGAGAAGAGGGAGGCTGAGTTCCAAGTCAGGCTGAGATGGGGGCTGGGATACTACAGATTAATGGGGGGAGGGCGGTCAAGAACTCACCACTCACCTGCCAGAAGTACACTCAATATTGTACTCATTACTAATAAAAATCCTTAAATTAAAAATAAGATTGAGTAAGAAGGTCTGCTTCATAGAGAACTCAAGAGAAATTAATCAAAGTAATACTCAGTTTCCCCCACTTTTATACTTGTTTTCTGGGAGGCAGCAAAGTAGATGTTAAGTGATACCTCCAGTCTAATTTCTGCTTCAAGAACTACGTGAGCTTGGGTGAGTTACTCCACCTTGAAAGCCTCTTTCTCAATTTTAAAGTGAGAAAAATAATTCCAAGCTGAAAGGAGTACTCTGAAGACATGCAAAGACAAAAAATATATATATAAATACTAAAATATGGTGGGTCATAATATAATGTCTGGAATTTACATGGGAACATTTCAGAAAAAAGAGGTGAGGAAAGAAACAGATGAAGAAAGTTGGATAACACGTTGGAAATTAATGAAGCCCAGTGATAGGTATATAAGTCCATCGTAGCACTTTTTATGTTTGAAATTCTCCATTAGAACGCATTGCAAGGAAAAGATGAAACTTGAAAGCAAAGACACTTCCTCTCTAAAGGATTTTACGGTAACTAGAAAAAAATGGATAGGAACACTGACCTATTTTGTATAAAAAATCTTATAAAAATTTTTTTTTCTTATATAAAATAGGCAAAAAGTGGATTTATTTACTGAGTGCTCACTAACCTGGAATAATGCTAGGTGCTTTCCATACCTTCTTCTAACTCTAATTAAAAACAATTAACTTCAGGGGTGCCTGGGTGGCTCAGTTGGTTAAATGTCTGCTTCGGTTGAGGTCATGATCTCACAGTTTGTGAGCTCGAGCCCCATGTTGGACTCTGTGTCAGGCTCAGAGGCTGGAGCCTGCTTCAGATTCTGTGTCTGCCCCCTCCACCCCTCCCATGCTCATGCTCTGTCTCTCTCTCTCTGTTTCTCAATAATAAATAAATGTTAAAAAATTTTTTTAAATTAACTTCATGCTTTACTCATCATAAGAGACAATATAAGACAGAAAGGCAGAAAAGCATCATTGTTAAGCTTGCAGATTCACTGGGTACTCAATGTATAATGGGTTTTTTAGAAGAAAGTTTAGTATCATCTACCGAATCTTTAAAAGCAAGCATGCAATGGAGCTCTACACAGCTAATAGAAGTTTTCGACAATGAATTCTGTATGATTATATTGAGAAACTTAAAAACTTACCAGATCCGTATCTGCCTTTTTATTGGTCAAAGCTTCCACTTTGGAATCCAGTTCTGCTTGTATTTGGTCTCTCCTTTTCATAACACCCTTCATATCAAAACACAGGGATGGAATAAGTTGCACTTTGGTTTAACAATATTTGTATAAAAAATACACATTTTAGAATATAAATAGCCTCTCTTCCCCAAGTCATCAGTCATTTGGGGATACAACGACTTAAACAAATTTGTTTAACCTCTAAAAGCTAAAACTGAAAGCAGGTATTTAAGATAATTTTCTTCATAAATCTTTTATTAGTTTTCCCAATGAACATCTTACTGGTGTAAGTATTTTATGTACAACTCTTGACGGAGCACTCTCGACATATTCAGTTCTTCAAAAAGAGCAAAAAACAAAACAAATAATTATTCAAAAAAACCAGTGGGAGCACTGAAAATATATGCTACGATATAACCTGGTGCAGTTGAGAGGTCACACAGGACACTCACCTAAAAATGTCTATAATAATTGGCAGCCCACTTATCCAAATCCAAAGGCATGGTTAATTAAAGAGTTAATTACAGTGGGGAATCAGAAAACTGAAGTGTGAACTCACGTTTTGAGATTTTACTTTAGCTTAACATATATAAGTATTAATCAATTAGCCAAGCTTTTGATGAGAAATCACAGCCTTTTCTCTGCCTGAGAGGAGTTCCATCTTGTTTTCTTGAATAACCATTGATTTCATGTTTTGGTACCCTTAAACTTTAAAACACCCTTATGAAGGAATCTGAGTGCAGAATTCACCTGCATCTTTTATAATTTCTGCCAGTCTTTTACAGTGTGTTTCCCTTTGTGGCCCATTTTTCTTCCAAGACCTGCTACTTAGGCTTTATAGACACAAGGGCTCTTTTTATTTGTACTCATCTTTTACTGGTTTTCAAAATATTAGTTTAAATGATAAAATTGTGATAATGAACACAAGAGGCCCAAAGAGGTTAACAAAAAATTAAGCTAACTCCAGGTAAGTAAAAAATTCAACCAGAAAGAGTGGAAGTGCAGGATATACGAGAAGAGCCTTAATGAGGCATAAGTTTTTCAGGTGTTTTCCGAGGAAGGGAAGAACCTACCCATAAACCAGTTAAATGGAGGCAAGATAATTTGAAATAGTATTTGGGAACTGAGAGGCATTAAGGATAAAGAGCATCCTGAAAATTACTCAGTCTAATTTTGTGTCTGGCGGAATTACTCTTAACACACTCAAAAGAGATAAACATTTCTCCTGTGTTCAAAGAAATCAATAGAAAATTCAGGTAATTACTACACATCTTTTATATTTATTTCAGTGTTTCATTGCCATTAATATCAGGAACCCTTTTTTATGTCTAACCCAAATGACACATACTGCAATTTAGTCTCACTTATTTAAGGTATGTTTTCATAACTATGAAGTACTATGCTTCACATAGGTAGAAATATTTTAAGTTAAGAGTTTGCATCAGATGACAACTAGTAAACTTACACAAATTTAATCATTTTGTCAAGGTCTAAACTTTATTATTTTAGCTCACATTGAAGAAAACATTCTAATATTAAACAGAACCAGAACTGCAATATAAATGCTACTGATTATACCCTAGGAGTCTACAAAATAATATAATCAAATGAGAACCTATAAAATAATTCTTCTGGTTGCTATTATAATTTTTCCACACCTTTAGTGATATATGACTTAAATTACATAATTTTCATCTTGGCATAATAAAGAGAAAAACACATCTAATTGAGGGAGAAGAATATACTATTTTTAATTATACAAATCAAATCTCTTTGAATAACCACACAAAGCAGATATCAATAATGAAGTAAAGCAATGAAATGTAGCCAAGGAAATTGATGGAGACTAGGAGGAGACTCCTCAGCAGTGAAACATTAGAGGCCTTTGGGAAGCAAGAAGCATTTGTTTATAGAAGACCCCAATAAAGTCGAGTAATAGCAGCAACCTGAAATACCTACAAAATATTTAATGACTGTGAAATAAAAACCTAAGCGTGATAAAAGAGACAGATCTCATGCTGCAAGGCTAAGAGAGCTTTTCTTACCAAGACAGAAGCAAAATTAAAAAAAAAAAAATTTAAAAAGTCCTCCCAAACCAAGAGTACATAAAAACAGACACAGCTCCACTTACACACAGCAGAAGAAATGGACTATATATGAATGTAAGTGGGCTCCTTCTCCCACTGCCACGCTATAACACCAGAGCCCTGAGGGTATCAGTTTGTTCAAGGTACTGTGAGCAGAGCATAATACAGGATGAAAAACATTAGCTTTGCAGATAGCATTGCTAAATCCCAAATATCTGGAAACCGTAACTTGAACTGAGGAGGTTAAATACAAAACTTTGATGTAAAAGGAATAAAAGCCTTTGCAAATAGTGAAAGAAAAACATTTTAACTTGAAGGATTTCTTTTTAGAAGCATCCAGAAGACAGAACAAACATCAAAAATCCTACTCAAGTACTTTGTACATAATGATACTAAATACATTGCTAAATCAAATGTACCTAGAAGGGAGAAAGGAACTCTTTCATGAAAAGAAATCTCTAAAGCACTAAAAGCTTTTTAAGTAAAATTTTATTTTTAAAAAATTTTTTCATGTTTTTTATTTATTTCTGAGAGAGAGAGAGAAAGCATGAACAGGGGAGAGTCAGAGAGGGAGACACAGAATCTGAAACAGGATACAGGCTCTGAGCTCTGAGCTAGCTGTCAGCACAGAGCCCGACACAGGGCTTGAACCCACGAACCATGAGATCATGACCGGAGTTGAAGTCGGACGCTTAACCAACTGAGCCACCCAGGTGCCCCCACAATTTTTTAAGTAAAATTTTAAAGGGTTGGAAAAACTAATCATATTGTCTATGTAAATCTTGACTGAGGATGTTTACTGTGGCTATTGAGTATTCCTACAGGATAGGAAAACAGTGGTGAAAAAAATAGAAATAGAAACTGCCTTTATAAAGCTTATAATCAGGTCAGAGACTAAGGTACAAGGATGGGGTGTTCTTACCATTAACATTTCACTATAAAGTACATACTCATGTACTACAGGAAGTAGGGCCTCTGAGAGTCCAGACATCCGTTTTTCAGTGGCCTTACAGCATTTGTCAATGCAGCTGGCAATCCCTTTTAGAGTATCAACCAAATCTTCTTCTGACGCTGACCACAGAATGTGAATTGGGCCATATTCTTTCATTTCATCAGAATATTCTAAAAACAAAAATTAAGCTCTTCAATTTACAGAAGTTTTAAAAATCTGTGTATCATAGACAGTAAGAAGAGACCTTATTTTTCTCATTGTGTATATGTTCTTCTAAGTGAACATAAGAAGATGGCTACCATCTTTCATTAAGTTGGCAGCCATTCCAATCCACTCAGGTCAGTCCTTAAATGACTAGTGTCCACATGTAATTAGCAATAACATCCTTTTTCATTCTCTTAAGTATCCTGACTTGGAAAACAAATTATAAGTTTGTCTTCTTTCTCCCCTTTTCCTGATTACATATCCTACTTAACAGTAATTGTTTCCAGTGATCTCAAAGCAAACAATGGGTATCATTCTATAATCATACCTGCACAGAGCCAATTACCAATTTCAATATTTCTTAATATTTATCTCTCTACCCATTGTCTATCCATCGATTCATCCATCTTTTTATCTACCTATCTACCTCCTATCTATCCTCACTTCCATTGTCATCTGCTCATCAGCATCTGTAACCTGTAGTTCTGCAAGGGAATCCTAACTATTCTCCCTCTTTCAATTTTTGTCACGGTATATAACATTGAAATTTCTGAGCTGAATTAGAAAGTCCCTACATGGCCTCTCCGGGTCCAACTCTTGAGATTCTTTCCCAAATATAGTTTAATTCAGGCCATAATAATTACTTATTTATGAATATCTCATGATTTCTCATTTAAACATGACACATATCCCTTTGCCTTGCCCTTTACCATTTCTACCATTTGACAAATTACTTCTAATCCCTCTGATTAGATTCCTTCAAAAAAATTCCTTCTGATTCTGTTCCAAAACATTTGTAGATGCTTTGGCCTCAATGAGCTGATCATAATTTTATACTTCTATTAAAGACTATCATAATTTTATGCTTGTATTATCCTATTCTATTATAATTGCTTGCATAAATCATATTCTCCTAGGCCATATGCTCCTTAAAACAGGGGCTGAGTTTCATTATTTTCTTTTATCTCAAAGCCTGATACATAATGTGTTCAATAAATATTTTTATAAGAGTGAATGAAAGAACAACAAAAGACTATTCAATGTTTGATAAGCCATTAATTCAAAAATTTGTATTTCATTTCAAAATCTGAATATTTTTACATTCTTCATTTTATAGTATCATATTTCTTTTTTTTTTAAGTGTATTTATTTTGAGAGAGAGAGAGAGAGCACGTGTATGTGCATGGGGAAGAACAGAGAGAGGGCAAGAATCCAAACAGGTCAGTGCAGAGCCCAACACAGGGCTTGATGCCAAAAACCATGAGATCATGACCTGAGCCAAAATAGAGTCAGACGCTTAACCAATTGAGCCACCAAGGCACCCTGATACGCTACCATCTTTAATGATAGCCTTTTATGATAGAGAATGTATAAGTAGTGAACATTTTTTTGTTTAATATCCATCAAATAAAATAAACTTCTCTATATTTAATCATCTTACTACTATTAGAGTTAGCTGAAATATGGCATACTACCCTAGATTATTCTGTTAAAATGTCAAAAGTTTGTATGATCAAATAAACTGAAAAAGATTAAAAAAATAAAACATTGGAAATATCAGTTGTCACCAAATAAAGTATTAGGTTTAATGACCACTAGAGCCTTTCCAATTGGACCCTCCTAATCTAGGCCTATCCTTTGTTTTAAATAATGGCCACACTACACTAGCATTTCTAGAAAAGAAAAATGTTCTCCTTTATCTCATTTTCTCAATTTGTGTATACATCAGTGTGTACCATTCTCTGTTTTTATTTATTTATTTATTTATTTATTTATTTATTTATTAAGACAGAGTTAAAGCAGGAGAGGGGCACAGAGAGAGGGAGACAGAGAATCCCAAGCAGGCTCTGTGTTGTCAGCACAGAACTTGATGCGGAGCTTGATTCATGAAATCATGAAATCATGAAATCTTCACCTGAGCTGAGATCAAGAGTTGGATGCTTAACCAACTGAGCTACCTAGGTGCCCCTGTAATATTTATTCTTCCATAGTGAGCTTTTCAAAAATTCTAAACTGTGCTTACACAGCACTCAGAACATATTTGTATACAAACAGTTACTGAGTTTTACTGTAATTTGTCTATCCATATATCTGTCTCCCCAGCTAGACTCTGAGCTCAAGGACAGGTACCAACTTACTCCTCCTTCAACCTCTAGCACAGAGAAGAGGTACCGCCTGTGGTCAGTGCAAATGTGGCAAATAAACTGGGAAACACAAAACAAAACCAGATCAAAGGAAAACCTTGAACAAAAAACTTAAAAAAATAGAAACCACTAGTTATGATCACCAAATTTTCATGATTTGAATATGAATGAAATGCCCTATAAAGCTTAAGGCTTCCCAGCCTACCAAAGGAAACATTCCATTGTCTTGAATGGTGTCTGACAAGTGGGCTTCACACTCAAAAGAATAAGAAATCCCTCAAGTTTGGGCCAGTGGCAATCATTCCCTGAAAATCAGAACTCAAATTTATAAAGTCTATCATAAAATCCAGTTTTCCTTCTGATCATTTCACAAAATGTAAAGCAGAATACTGATGCTCTACAAAACTCATAGGTCTTAAAAAGTTTCTAGGGGTTTCTCTGAATTCCTATTCCACTTAACCGTGCATCAAGAATATTCTTAACAGAACTGGAATCACAGACCCCGGTTAAAACAATTAGTCTCTTGAGATTTAAAAAAAAAAAAAAAGACAAATGATAAATAACAAGGGCAGACCAGTAAGTTCTAAAAGAAATTATTAAACTATATTCAGTCACCACAATGACATCACCAAGCATCAACGCATGAAAAAAAAAAAAGATAAAAGTAAATTCAGTGATGACAGCTTTGTCTATATTTCTTTTAATAACCAATCAACTAATGATAAAGCAAATTCTCCTACCACCAACTCATATGTTCATTCATTTTTTTCAATCATTGAACAGGTTTTCATTGAGCACTTACTGTGTGTTAAGCACTATCTGGAAACTAGAAATTAAACAAATCTTCTCCCTTTTTGTCCTGATAGAATTTACTATTTAATGGGAGACATAGAAAATGAAGAAATAAGTCTCAATACAGAGACAAAGTAGTTCATCTCTGAAACCAATTTATATTAGGAAGTATATTCTTTGATTGGCCACCTAGTTTTAATGTAGCTAAATGCAATTAGAATATCAGCAGAAAGTCATCATGGAATTAGAAAAAAAAATCATTATGGAATACAGTCTAACTTCTAAACTAAAATAAAAATAAAAAATTGAAAAAGGAAATGGTGCCATGCTTGAACAGGCCTAACATAGAGTACTTGTTCCAAAAAAAAATCACAGAAAATGTGGAAACCCTATTTTCTGATACACTGCTTCTTTGAATTTAAGCTATGATCCATGTTGTACATTTGAGACCAACTTCATACAACTACATTCAAAATCTTAAGCTCAGGGCTTACTTTACCATTATTACTTATAAATGGGAACAAGAACAGCTAGTGATTGATTAAAACAAATGGGGCTGGCCATGCCAACTTCAAAATCATATAGAAATCAAAAATATTTTGTCAGTATATCTGGGCATAAGCCACACATAAAGGTGAAATTCTAACTTAATGTTATGTGATACCTCATGTAAGGAGCTTGCAAATCACTACTCTGTCTTAACAAGGAAAATGCTGAATAGACTGAAAAATGAATAGCTTTTCTTGGCTCTGCAACACAGGGGAGAACACAGGACCGACCACTGTCCTCAAGATTGTAAGGGCAGAGAATAGAAGGAATCGCAGGGTACTGTGCACACACTAAAAAGCTGAAACCACCTCTAACCACCCACTGCTGGGATAGGGAGCCTGGACCTGTAATTGGTAAACTGCTGGAGGTGCAGTGTAGACAACGTGAAGAGTTAAAAGCTCCAGGGGACCCAGTCGTGGGGTCAATATTGTGAGATTTACCTCAGGAGCTCAACTAGGTTCACTGTAAATATTGAATAAAAACTACTCATGCTTCTTGCAGAGGAAAATTTTGAAATAGCCAGAGCACTCTGCTCTTCTTAACAATGGCCTGCCCTCAGAGGACACTAGTTAACCAGAGCCTAACCTGCTCAGGTATTATCAGAGCCTAACTAACTTAGAGAACGGGAAATACTCAACTCCAGTCCACTCTGGTCATTCTGTCCCAACTAAGCAGGGAGAGAAAAACTGAGAAACTCTTGTGAAGTTCACAGTCCAGAGGCACAAGCTCACTAAAACTGAGACCAGATCACAAAACCATAGAGTGCTTCAGGTACAAAAGGTTCTTTTTTTTTTTTTTTCTTTTTTTCTATATTTAGATCTACTTAAGTTTTCTATATTTGAAACTATAAAACCCTTCTCCTTTCCCTTACCACATTACTACAGGCTTGTTTATAGCAGTTCCTTTCACCCAGTATCATGTCTGGCTATTAAGAAGAAAAGCATAATAAAAGGCAAAAAAGACCATTTAAAGAGACAGAGCCAGCATCAGAATCAGACATGACAGGGGCACTGAAATGATCAGACCAGGAATTTAAAGCAGTGATGATTGATATGCTGAGGGCTCTAATGGACAAAGGAAACATCACACAAAACAAGATAGGGACTGTGAGCAGCGAGATGGAAACCTTAAGAAAGAGCCAGAAAGAAATGCTGACAACACTGCTTTACTACACCAGCAAATGTGAAGATCAGTCAGAAATTGAACAACTTGGTAATCACATTCCAGTGATTCTACATACCCCTCTCTTCCTTGTAAATTCTCTGAGATATTTTGTCTATCAAATTTATTTTCTGGCTAAACACTTCAATAAAGTTATTCATTTCCATGAACTCCTCTGGGCGGCTTTTTACTCCTCTCATTGACAGTGCGACAGCCCTGACTGTCTGTCCCATCCTGCTGAGTAATCCAGGCCCTTGCTTCTTGTGAGAAGAGAGCTCCTAGAAACAAAAAAACAAACAATGAAATGTTTGTGGTGAAGCAAATATTTCAATATTCCCAACAATAGGAAATGTAATTGGAAGGAAAAGATGATAAAAATGTTTCATAGACTTTTTTCATGAGTTTTATTGGGGTATAGTTCTTCCTCTAAGTCTGTGTCCTTGATAATATTCCATTACAAAGTACTCATGTAAAACATGTATACAGGTTTCCTCTCAGCATGGATCTTTAAAAGAATAAGGTTTAACAGAGGGAACTGTGCTTAAGGAGACATTGAGGAAGATATATATATATATATATATATATATATATATATAAACTCACCATAGCACTATGAGGTAGGTTCTACTATTATCCTCATTTTACAGCAGAAAATACAAGCACACTAAGGTTAAGAAGCTTGCTCCAAGTCCAAGGGAGATAAAGTGGTGGACAAGGATTGATCTGACTCCAGAGGCTAAGCACTAACCACCTTTGTCTTCTTGATGTCACTATAAAAGTTTGTAAATGATACTCCCTGACCATAACTCTCCAACCAAGTGAAGAAGCTAAACTGTGACACTACCTCCCCTGTCTAGCTGGCTGTAGAGAGATTTTTAACAATATATGTAAGTAGTTCTTTCATAGTTAATCTGGGAGGGAGGAGTAAAGACATGCAAAACAAGAAGAAAGGTTATAAAAGGATATACCACACAAAAGCAACCCTTTAGAAGTGCAGCGTGTTAAAAAAAGAACAGCAAGAAGAAGACCACGGGATTCTGGAGATGGTTCTAGCACTCATTGAAATATAGATTTGGCATCAAATAAGTCAATCAAATAAAAGATTACCACAAGAAACCAAAAAAAGATCTATAAATAATAATGCTGACTACCAAATCCTCAGACAAAAATATGATATATTATTTATCTAAATATTAAGTAATATATTATCTTCTTCCAGATTTTCTTTCTTGCAGGTCTTAGACAAAATGATACATATAAAGTAAACTTGTTTATTTCCAAGGCAGCATGATTTTATGTGTATAGTAACAGATGCTGCCCTTGACCAAGTAACGCATGTATCTGGAGGTGCTACAGCATTACTTGATAGAGTAAACATTATCAGAGAGAGCATAAGTCACAACTGGCAAGCTATTACTGAGAACTGACTACAGAGAATGTTTCTAGCAGCTTCTAAGGTTCTGGAGTCAGGCCACAAATTCATTTCATGTAAGTCTCAAAGGACTTCCAAATAGCAGTACTATCTGTCAAGACTGAGATGAACCACTTTCTAGATTCTATCACTTTGGTAACAACTGAGAGATACAAAACTCAATATGGGTCAGTAATCGTTTAATATTGACCAGGTTTCCTATCCATTTTCTTTCTTGGTGAGTTATATTTTCATAGGTGAAAAGAAAAAAGAAGAAGAACATATAAAGTTTCTGCATTAGAAACAGATACACAGTAGGTAACTGAAAGAAAAATACGAAAATTGTATTATCTACTGGCTATCCATCCAACCATCTATCCATTTAATAAAGATTTTTATACTAACTTCCAACCATCTATCCATTTATCCTATCTTGAATAGCCCTAACCCAATATAGAAGTATATTGTATATGTTCAGTATTGGCTAAATACGCAAGGAGTACCCTGACATTAAAAAAATTCAGCTACCAAGAGAAATACGAATATGTATATGTGAGGAAGATATAAGATGTCTGTAATGTTTATATGTAGATTTGACACAGAGTAAATTTTAAATCTGAAGACTATCTCTCCAGTGTTTGATACCCCATCTTAATTCAAGGACATTGCTGCCTGATTCATAAATGAAAACAAGAGGAAGCATACAATCTACTATAAATACAGATGCTAAAGAATTATATGAGTATAAATCAAAATTCTTTACCCAAGCTTGTGCAGTAAGAAACACTTTGAAGTCTTCATTAAATGTTAGAGTTGGGTGATCAGCAATTCGGTTCAGGAACTTATGTAGTGCTTTCCTTCGTGTCTCAATGAAGTCATCATTAAAGCGTTCTACCATACCTTTCATGATAAACTTCTCAGGCAATGGCTGAGACAAAAAAAAGTGTTAAGAAGGATCTGAGCATTACGTGGCATGGAATTATAAGGAATTCTACACTTTTCCTTTTTAGGAGACTATTTGAGCTTGCAATCATTTCTTATAAAAATAATGTTTCAAAATTCACAACGCTAGGACTAAAAACCTGCAAAATCTTAACATATTAGAATAGTTTAGAAAAACAAATCTGGGAGTGCTTAGGTGACTCAGTCGGTTAAGCATCCCACTCTTGATTTTGGCTCAGGTCATAAACCTATGGTTCATGAGATGGATCCCCATGTCCGGCTGGCTCTGTGCTGAGTGAGCCTCTCTCTTCTTCTGCCCCTCCCTGGCTCACTCTTTCTCAAAATAAATAAACATTAAAAAAAGAAAAAAGAAAGAAAGATAAATCTGTACATAGATTGAAAGTTTAAAAGCAAAGATTTCTGGATAAATGAATTACACTGATTTAAAAGTCTGATATTAGTTATAGACATCCTAATGATTCATAAGACAAAATGGCAGCTACTCTATGGGGAAAAATGTAGACTTACTGGAATAATCAGAGTGGGGTGTGCTTCTTCAAGTTTTCCTTTCAACCAAAGGAAATCTTGATAACGTCTCCTAACTTCAAATTCGCTGGAGTCAAATTCCCCACGAGATGTCTGAAGAAGGTAGGAAAAAATAACAGCACATGCAGTATAAGACAGAAGACATTTGCCTAATGTTATTTTAGACATGCTGAAATAAATGGGTCTCTAAGAAAAATTAACAAATTCTAATTATTCAGTGTTTGTCAGCCTGTACTTTTTTTGCAGTCATCAATTCATACAGCAGATGAAACAAAGCAAACTTTCCAGTATTTCCAGAAAGAAAGCAAACATCATGCTCAAATTTAAAATCCAAACTGAAAAATCTGTCTTAGAGCAGCCATCTGCCTTCCACAAGATTTTAACTACTATTATATTTGGCATGACTTTCTTGCTAACAAGAAAGTGTGTTCTGAATTTAGGTTTCAAATATATTTTTTCTCAAGATGATTAGAATTCAGAATTTGAGGAAAGTCCTATTTTTGTAATTTGGAAAATAACCTGAACATAACTGAGAAAAAATGTTTTCCTGGAATCTGCTCAAATGAATTGCTTTGCTAAAATTTGCTTTTAGTATATGAAAATTCTAACATTTTACAGAGTGATTTTACCACTGTTTAAAAAATGTTATTAATGAAGATTTGATGTGAAAAGAAAATCATTTCTCAAGGGATTCTGAGTTATATGCCTAACTCCTAAAAATTAAGCAAATAAATTAAAATATCTGTTCTCAACAAACCAAAAATCTATGCCAACACATATGACAAGAAGAACATGGGTACAATATCAACCTCATTTCCACTGCCTGAATCTCAAGCCAAATTTAAAAAAAACAAAAACAAAAACACACATTATCTGATGCACACTCACTCCTACCAATATCTTATTAAGTAAATTTTTGGATATTAAAAATTATACAGAGTGAATTTAGGTTGAAATTTTCCTGGAGGAGTAACGATGGAATAACACATTACATGCATATTTTGCTCTCACCCAAAATATCAATCATCCACACAGATGAATGCAACTGTAAAGTTAAGTAGTTCAAGTCATAGATGTAATCTTAACTGTCATGAAATAAGGTTCATAAAAGTTATTCTTTCCAAGGTTTATTCTTTTAAAATCAATGCTTATAATATCATACAATGTATTTTATCAAAACATTTCCTTTTTAGTGGGAAAAAGTTGAGGTAAATGAGATGCAGATGTCTAAGGAACTAAATGTTCATAAAACACTATGAAATGTTAACTATGGGTACAAGTTATGGAAATGGTAAAAATAGGAAAACTATATCTAGCAGAAACACAGTTTAACAGCATATATACGAGTTGGTATGTGTACACATATATGCAAATACACACACATGCATACATATATAAGTACACAAAACATGGTTTACAGTCACTCACTAAAAATCACTTATTGAACAACACCTCCTTGTACCAGACACATATGTATAGTACCAATTTCCAAAAGTAAAAACTGGTATAACCAATACTAAAATACTCAAATATTGGGCAGTTCAGAGATATTTATGTCCTCAAGAAATTTCAACACTTTAAGTAGAACAATCTGATCACATTTCCAGCAAGAGGAAGATGTAAAATCAAGTCAAATAATTGGTTGATTCTGTCCCCATCACTCTGTCATTGACTTAAAAGTTTTCTACTCTTTCATGCTGCAGTAACACAGGAATAAAACAGAAGATGCATAAATAATGCTCCTAATACAGAATACAGTATTCCATGGAAGCTATATCACAAATTGTCTTTAATTTTTCATGTCTGACCATAAAATCTTGGTACTTGAAGTTTTGGACTAATGGCCTCATGCGATCTACAACCCAACATGCACTCATTCAACAAACACTGACCTTTGGTCAAGGGCAGTTACTCTAGGCTCTGAGGCTTTAGAAAACTGTTTTTGAGGGAAAATGAATTTTAGAATCAAGAATATACTTTAAATCCTACTCCACACTGACAGGCATTTATGAGTTTGTCTTCATGATGAGGATGTGAGAGGGAAGAGCCTCGTTAAATCTCAAAGCTCTTGTTTCTATATGTAGTAAAGGTAAGCACATCTCTGATTCCAAAAGCAAAAGTACTTCTTTAGAACAGTCACTTTGAATATTCTAAACTAGAGAATAAAGGGCAATTTCCCATAAAGAGGACAGATGCTAGGGATGTGGGCTTCCTGATACTCAAAATTATTTACAGTCAGGTCATTCTGAATATTCCTAAATAGGAGAGTGTCAGTGTACATATGTGCACACATATATGTGCATTTATCCTTATAATATTAATGTCTATAAATGTTAATAAAACTAAAACTTTCTCAGGGAAGCCACCTCTGAACCTCCACATTAGATGGGGTGCCCATACTCATAAAATCCTTTATTTTTCTTTCACAGCATTTATAACTATAATTAAATAATTTAGCACGTAATTATTTAATATCCATCACTCCCCTAGATTGAGAGCTCCAAGAAGGCAGAGAGTATATCTGTCTTGATTGCTGTTGTAGTCTCAGTATACACGCACAAGACCTGGGACATAATTAGCACTCAACAAAACTTCACTGAATATATGAGAAAGTGAATAAATGATAAAAAGTGATTAACAAATCAGGGTGCCTGGGTGGCTCAGCTGGTTAAGCAGCTGACTCCTGCTCAGGTCATGTTCTCACAGTCTGTGAGTTCAAGCCCCACACTGGGCTCTGTGCTGAGAGCTCAGAGCCTGGAGCCTGCTTTTGATTCTGTGTCCTCCTCTCTCTCTGCCCCTCTCCCACTTGTGCTCTGTCTGCCTGTCTCTCTCAAGAATGAATAAATATTTTTAAAAAAATTTTTAAGTGATTAACAAAGAAAAGACTATTTGAAAACATACATCTACCAAATGTTTACATATTTTTATCTGCAATGCATATTTTAGTATATGTAGGTATACTCTATATATCGGATGCAGTAAAAATAATCAAAACTAGAACAAAGAGACTTTTTCACAATAGTGAAACTGAAAGATAGTGTTCCATAACCATATAGAGACACACAAAAATATAACAGAAAACACATATAGTGTGAAAGTAAATGGTCTGGATTTAAATCCCAGCTCAGGTAATCACTATGGTGTGTAAACTTTGGCAAGTTACTGAGCTTCAGTGTCCTCATGAACAAAATAGGGGTAAATTGTAACATCTAGGTCCTAGGATCATTGTTGAACTTTAAACAATCTGTATAAAGTGGTTAGAACACTGCCTGGCCCAAAGTAATCACACAATAAATGTTAGTTAAACTAACACTGTAATATTATCGATATTTACTACTAATGCTGTTGCTGCTATAAGAGCCATGCATCATTTAAAATATGATGTAAATATGGATATTATATGTCTGTGATTAGAGTAAAATTCACACGGTAGCTTATAACACAGTGTCTTTCTAAGAGAAACAAATAATGATGGGGAAATAATTCAGTTGCACAAATTCTTTGTTAGGAGGGATGATGACAATGAATAGTTATAATTAAAATAGTAATACCAGGACAAATCTGGTCCTATTTTTAGCAATATGTCTGTATAAATACATTAAATATTCACAACAACCCTTCAAGCTTAGTACTGTTATCTTATTTACAACCGAGGAAACTAAGCATAGAGAGGTTAATTAAGTTGCCCAAAAGACATAGCAAGGAAGGGGAATAATCAAGATCGAATTCCATGCTATCTTGCTCTATAGCCTCTTGACAGAAGTATGATACTATAAATTTTTTCACTCATTCATTGACCAAAAAGTTAAATTGCTTACTCACTATATCCTAAGGATTGTGTTTGGAAATGTGGATAACTTAAGATATAATTACCTTCCTTGAGAAGCTCACAGACTTCTTGGGAATAAATACAAGTAAACACATAGTTATCTACTCACAAACAGGTTGGTGGCAATTACTGAACATTTATTATGTGTCAGGTGTTTTGCTAAGTGTTTTATGTTGATGAGCAATCCTAAATCAATTCTTACAGCAACTCAACAGAACCAGGTTTGCGTGTCATTTCCATTTTATAGATTAAAAAAAACCTTGAGGCTTAGAAGGATTAAATATAGGCTTAAAATTTCTTTGCTATACTGACTCCAGTGTTTTACATCCTTTAAGAATTCAATTAGAATAGCATGAGAAAATAGAAGAAAGAAAGAAGCTTCCAGCCTGCAGATGCAGGAGTAGGGCCAGGGCAGGCATCATCTTGAGTTGTGTCTTGAAAAATAAACATTAGTTCTTCTTTTTAGAAGAGGAAGGACAAAACAGAGAGAAGGAAAAGTATATACAAAGTCATGACAGAAAGAAATACTCTATGGTATTCAGATAACAAAAATAGTTTTAGATGAGTGGGGGGCAGGGGTATTAAAAATGGGGAGTTAAAGACAGTAGTCTTACAGAGTACGTTGGCATCAGACTGAGAAGCTCTTTACATGTCATACAAAGGAATTTGTACTTTGTTCTGTATGAAGTGAGGAACCTGGAAGAGCTTTAAGACTCTGAGTGAGGAGATCAGATATATACAATTTTATGACACATAACTAGAAGCAGTGTGGAATTTGCACTGGAAGAAGTGATTATAGGAAGATGGTCCAAAACCTTTTCAGCTGCAAAAGAGACATACTACAAAAGAGATGGAGGGTGTGACCTCAAAAAGAGAATAATATAACTTAAGAATATAATTCCTAAAGTTTGCTATTACATAAAGGATTTAAAAAAAAAAAAAACAGTTACATGACTTGGTTGTTTTTTTCTGGCAGAAATAAACTCTCTTTTTGCAGAACCTTGTCCTAGGATTAAGGAGATTTGGGTTCTAGATTTACTCTGCATTTGAATTATAGGACAACTAACAGTATCTTATACATACGATAAAATGGCCACTGGCTCTTATTTGGAAAGAAAATGAAATTATATTTTGTGATTTTCAGAAGAAATGCTACAATAAGATATTATATCATGCTGTTAACTAGTTTTATTTTATTAGCAAACAGAGGCTCTTCCAAAGACATTTCTTTATATTTTTTTAAACTAAAAACAAACTGTTCCTGTGTTTAAAAAAAAAAAAATTAATGCTTATTTACTTTTGAGAGACAGAGACAGAGACAAAGCCGGGAAGGACAAGGGGAGAGAGGGAGACACAGAATCTGAAGCAGACTCCAAGCTCCAAGTTGTCAGCACAGAGCCCAACACGGGGCTCAAACTCACGAGCTGTGAGATTATGACCTGAGCTGAAGTTGGATGTTCAACCGACTGAGCCACCCAGGTGCCCCTAATGTTCCTGTTTCAAGATGCACCACTGCTAAAAACAATGAGTGACTGGGGCACCTGGGTGGCTCAGTCGGTTGAGCATCGACTTTAGCTCAAGTCATGATCTCATGGCTTGTGAATTCAGGCTCTCAGCTGCCAGCTCAGGCCACTTCTGATCCTCTGTCCTCCTCTCCCTTACCTTACTCCACTTGATCTCATGTGCACTCATGCTCACTCTCTCTTAAAAATGAATAAACATTAAAAAAAATGAGTGACCATATGTGGAATTTGAGAAACTCAACAGATGAACACAGGGGAAGGGAAGAAAAAATGAGATAAAAACAGAGACGGAGGCAAACCATTAGAGACTCTTAAATAGAGAACAAACTGAAAGCTACTGGAAGGGAGGTGGGGGGGGATGGATTAAATGGGTGATAGGCTTTAAGGAAGGCACTTTTTGGGATGAGCACTGTCATATGTTAAGAGATGAATCACTGGGTTCTACTCCTAAAGCCAAGACTATACGGTATGTTAACTAACTTGAATTTAAATTAAAAAAAAAAAAAAAAAGGAGTGATTGTTGTAATTTGAATTTCACTGATTTCATCTAGAACAAGTGAAGGACAGATTAGATGCAACATCTTACCAAAATGGTTGAAAAACAAAACATAAGTCAGTTCGGTTAAGATTCTCTAATGTTGAGAGTCATAGAGAACAAAAAAACACTTCCAAACGTTCAGAGAGCAACTAATTCAAGAAGGTGTTCATTAAAGATTTACCTTAGTAATAATCCTATAAGTAATGAAAGTTTCAATTGTAGTAACATGGCTTTCAGGTTCATCAACTGTAATGAAAAGATCTTTCAAATCTGGCTCATCTTCAAACTTAACTTGGTTTATCATTGATAGAGGGGACGTTGGCATCATAGGGCTGAATGAATTCATGTCCATCAATGAGGCATCCTAAGAAATAAAACACATTCAAAAATTAACATCTATGGAAGAAACAGTTTAAAATTCTGTTTTTCTTAGACACAATAAATACTAATGAAATATGTCAAGAACAAAAAGGATGATTGGGCTCCTGGTTAAATATGGTATGTTGAACATGTATTTTTATCTCTGCTTCCTCTTAAAATTCCACTTTAAAAATGACTGCAAAGAAATAAACAAATTAAAACAAAACAAGGCATAAAAGGCATAAGCCCTTGAGGTAAAAATAGAGAGAGAGAGAGATGAAGCAAACAAAAGCAACTACTTTTTGGAAACTGGAAATCTTTGATTGTTGAGAGGTAACTGAAATAGCAGTGCAGAGAAAGCTGAATAGTTAACCCTAGGAGATAATGGTAAGCCTAGAAGGCACGTTTATAAGACAGAATCCCAGAGAGACTTAAGAATTTCAGGCACCAGAAACCTGTGGACACGAGTGCTGGTAGAGCTAAAACCAGAGGACTGGTTGAAAGCTAATAAAACAAAAAAGTTAGTACCTCAGATTCCCTCACCTACCCCAACCCATCAGGTGACATTTCTTCCCCAGTTTTGGAAAAAAGTGGAAGTTTACTTTCTGGAATGTCTCTGAACTCAAGCGTGCCAGGCAGAATGGAGGAAGAAATGGCAAAGGAAAGTCCTACATTTGAGATGGGAAGATAGCCAGCTCTCTCCCCTCACCTGGCCCTAAGGATTCCATCAGCAATTCCTCACGGCCCTCAAAATTCCATGCCGTGATCAGAGGCTTCCTCTCTTAGCTCACTATCCCAAGAAAAAAACTAACAGGTAGAGTCCCTGATGAGTGAGCCAGGTCTCTGCATAATCACCCTGCTCTGAAGCCCTTACCGTATATGTTGAATATCTACTCTGCTTTTTATTACCTGATGTAGAAACTACAAAATACCTAAATATGTGAAAAGCCTCTGATATGAAAGAAAGAATCACAGACGGAAGACAGGAAGCAGTTAGAGAACAGAATGCTTAAAAAAAATGGATGAAATCATCAGAGATAAGTATGATATCAAATTCATGAATAAAAACAGGAGTTATATTGTATGAAAAATTCAGAGAACAGCAGCAAGACAATAAAAAAGGAGGCTCATGAAAACTGAAATATGATTATAGGATAACAACTCAACAGGAAGTTTGAAAGATAGAACTCAAGAACTAAGTTGAATTAAAAAGGACAAAAGATTGAAAAGGAGAAGGAAGTGTTTTTAAAAATTAAAGGATCCAGGCAGGTAGTGCCTGAATAAAGCAAATTCCATAAAATGAAGAGGAAAATGTGCTTTGAACTGAAGTGTTTCCAGGTTGGTAACGCCTTTCCTGCCTCCTTAAAATGAATGGAGGCAGTGGTGGGATTGAAAGTGCTCCTGCAATTACCATGACATTGCATAATAGAGGTTAGCTTCCAGAGAGAATGTAAACAGGTAAAATACAACAGAAATCCCAGGAATCCGAATGGCTCCAGATTTCTCAATGGTAATATGGGAAACTAATTCACAATAAAATATCTTCCAAATTCTGAGAGAATATCTTCTACCTAGAACTCCATATAGCCAGATAAATTATCATTCAAGTATACAAGTAAAGTCATTTCAGATATAAAAGATTTCAAAAACTGACTTCCCATGCATCCATTCTTTGGAAGTTTCTTTAATTTTCCAAAATGAGGACATATAACAAGAGGAAATAGGATCTGAAAACAGGAGATTCAACAGAAAAGAGAACTACAGGAAATTCTTTGGATGATCATGAAACAATGTTACAGGTTAACAGCTTTGCAGCAGAACTAAAGAACAACCTATACAGACTGGGTCAGTAAGACAGAGTCACCAAGGAGGCAGGGAGATGAATAGGGAAAAAGAATAAGGGGAGAGACGGAAGAAGGGAGGCAGGAAAGAGGGAAAGAGACAGGGGAGTGAGCAAATGAAGAAGGAAAAGAAAAAAAAAGAGAGGAAAAGAAGGAAGAGGAGAGGAAGGAAGGAAGGAAGGAAGGAAGGAAGATGAATTGTGATGGGTGTAGGAAAAGCCAAGTGGAAAGCAAAAGAAAGGGATAGATAAAGAAATAAAGAAATGAAGGAAGGAAGGAATAATGAATGGTGAACTCTCAAGAAAACAAAAGGTGTGTAAGAATTAAAATGTAAATGGGGTGCTTGGTGGCTCAGTCAGTTGAGTGACCAACTTCGGGTCAGGTCATGATCTCAGTTTGTGGGTTTGAGCCTTGCATTGGGTTCCGTGCTGACAACTCAGAGCCTGGAGCCTGCTTCAGATTCTGTCTTCTTCTCTCTCTGCCCCTCCCCAACTTGTGCTCTCTCTCTCTCTCTCCCAAAAATAAATAAAACATTAAAAAAAAGAATTAAAATGTAATCATAGTTCACTATATGGCTTGACTTTGAATAAAAATAAATTGTTCCTAATCTTGAATTTAACTAAAAATGGTGATAGAAGAAAAAAAAAGTATGGTCAGAAGAAACAGTATATATACTGTATATATGTGAGGGGAAGAGATATTGCCTATAAAATAGCTTCAAAAATGCAATTACTATGATGGAAAAAAGGAAGATGAGCAACTGTTCCAGACTGAAGACCAAAGACATAATAGCTAAATACAACATGTGATCTTGAAATGGATTCTGTACCAAAAGAGGAGAAGCTTTGTTTTTTTTTTGTTTTGTTTTGTTTTCTAAACTTATTGGGACAACTGAAAAAATATGAAAGGGTCTGTGGATAGGTATGCAGTATTGTGTTAATTGGTTTCCTGATTTGTGTATGTATACTATGATTAGGTAGGAGAGTGTTTTGTTTTAAAAATACACACAGATCTATTTAGGAGTAATAAAACATCAAGTCTCCAATTTATTCAACTTACACACAGATAAAGCAAAAGTTGTGAAATGGCAATAATTGGGAAATCTAGATTCTTTGTGGTCTTTTTACAACTTTTCTCCCAGGCTGGGATTATTTCAAAATAAAAAAGTATATTTATAGTTTTTAAAAGTCAAATAATTCTATAAAACTTAAAACAAAACAAGACAAACTAAAAATTAAAAGCAGCTTCCTCTGCTCCAGAATTGCTCTTTTCAGAAGCAAATGCAGAACTCTATTAGCTGTTTTTGTTCCTTGTTACATTCCTTATTTCAAAATAACATACATACTGCTTTTTTTTTTTTTTCAATTTTGACATTATCAGTAGGTTTCCTACTAAGGAGACTAAGAAGTATTTATTAGTATTAGTATTAGTATTAGTACTAATTAATTATGTGAGTATAGACTCACAGATTCCTCTGTTACTCAATGGGTTGTAATCCATTAACCCCATAATTTATTTTGATGTTGTAAATGTTCAAAACTTGCCTACTGGGAGCTCTTTAATTCTGGCACCTCTGTGTGTTTGATATGTCTTCATTATTCCTTGAGCACTTTAAATAACATAACTTGGCAAAATTAGATATTTCAGGTTTACGTTCTATTTTCCCTGACCCTGTTCCCAGACATTTCTCCAAGGAGCTCTGGTTTCTTTGAGAGGAAACTGGAATTTGGAAATCAAGATATGAATGATAGGAAATGTATATAACACACACACACACACACACACACAGATACACATCTGGATGTAGATATATAGAAATCAATAGAAATACAAATAGATATAAATGCCATCAGTTCACACTGATACCTCCAATTACAATATGACATCATTCGACTTTTCCAGCTTGCCCTCTTTCCATATTTGTAACTCTTCTCCAGCAGAGAGAAGCCTGGCTCCCATTATCCTGAAGATATTTACTTATATGCTCAATCTTCCTACTTATAGCTAATCTATCCAAGTTAACTGTCTCCTCAGCCCTGACCACATAAGCCAGGGCATCCTATATCACTCACAACCACACAGGACCCCTCCTCATCCCTAATCTTACTGGCTATTTCCTTGGACATGCTGTTTGTCTCCTCAGGCACCATTTTTAAAGAAAGGGAAGGGAAGGCTGCATGTTATTTTTTTAATAAAAATTTTTAAGTGAAACCAAAGGGTAACACGCAGTAAATTTTAAATCCATCTTTTCATATGCAAAGATAAAACTAACAGTATCAATATGACATTTGAGTTATTTCTTCAGCAGTAATAATGATGTTTCCAACTCTATACTTTCTCTTTTAGATACCACTCTTTGCCCCCCAAATTAAGAATCCAGATGTTAGAATCAAAATTTTTGTCTGTTGTTATGTTATGAACAGACTAAAGTTAACCAACACTCTTAGAGACGAATGAAGCCCATCATAATTTAGCAGCAGAGTTGGCCAGTCCTAACTGGAAAACAAAAAAAAAATCATTATAGTACAAAGGAGGTCAAAGACTGGATTCAAGTCCTTTCTCTGCCACTGACTGAAAGCAGGTAACTCTGAACAATTAATTCAGCCTTTCAAGGTTAAATTAAGGAGATGGAGTTAAAAATCTGCAAAATCTCTCCCACCTCAAAGCCTAAAATAATAAAACTTCTAACTGCATTAATGTAGGAAAATGTAGGAAATCCAGACATTTTAAGAAAAGGAACTTTTTTGTAGTAGTAGGGATGAAAAAAGATTGAAATCATAATATGGATTTATTTTTCCCCTCAAAACAAACCAACCGAAATCCTTTGGAAGCATCTGTAACATCCAGAGCACTTTCTCAAGGCTCTTCCTATGCAAAAATTTAGTTGTGTGAACTATAATACAGCATTTGGTTAACCCCTCAATGCAATAATACAAGAGATATTAGGGTAAGACACACCAGCTGAAGAGATAAGAACAATGATTGTTCAAATTAAGAAGTTCAGATTCGGGGCACTTGGGTGGCTCAGTTGGTTAAGCTTTGGACTTCAGCTCAGGCCATGATCTTGCGGTTCAAGGCTTCCAGCCTCACACTGGGCTCTGTGCTGACAGCCTGGAACCCAGAGCCTGCTTGGGATTCTGTGTATCTCTCTCTCTGCCCCTCC